TTTTGCGAAATGAAGTTGCAATAGAATTTGATGAAGTGTATAGATTTAACAAATATGATGGTGGTTTTAACAAAGGTAGTAAATTAACTTTATCACTGGCACAGCATACAGCAAAAGATGGAAATGTTAGGCTGCTACTTTCATCTTTTTCATTTATCCAAAATTTGGCATTACAATGGGTGCAAATCTAATCCATTCTTCCCAGTTCATGACGTCTTATGTCATTATATTGATGATTATTTAAATGATTTATGCCTGCTTTATGTTGGATTTTTTGTTTTTTTCGATAGTGAAATTGTCTTTTTCTATTTAATCTCTTTTTACGCTGTTTAGAAGTTTCACTTTCAAACATATCTTGTTGAGAAGCCATAGTAAATATCACGTATAGTTAATATTAAAAGCTGATAATCAAAAGTTATGATTATTAGGTTATATCTGATAATACATATTTATATAACAAAAAATTTTGGTATCAAAATATAACAATATTAATTGCATTGCATGCAGGTGATATTATCTGATGTGATACAATATTGTAATCTGGATACATTGTATATTGGCTTTGGAGCTTTTACTAATTAAATTAAATTTATTGTGATTTTCAAATATAGTACAATCTATTATTTCTGATTAAATTGTATGCAGGCGCATGGCAAAGCCTTGCAATATTAAACTTACTAAATAAGCTATCATTAAGTGTGATTTGTAATTACAACTATATTATTTTGGTTCGCTCATATTAATATTGCTATTTTAATAAGTAATGATTCAATGTTTTCAAATTTAGTACAATTTATTAATATTATGGTATAGCTGCGTATTGTTGATCGATTCTATTTTTAACGATCCATCCAGATCTAAACTTTTCTGATTTAAGGATTTATCCTTAATTTTGGATTATTTGGATTCATCCTAATCCAATGTTTAAGGATTATCGTCGCTGGGTTTCTTTCTTTTTTATTAAAATTAAATAAATTTCAGACGGTATGTAAAGGAAAAATTTTAATCTTTAGGAATAGCAATTTTAATAGACTTCTAGGAATTAGTATTTTTATTTTTATTTTTATTTTTATTTATTTTGTTTAATAATCTCGTCTTCGACACACACTTTTTTTTTAGGATACGAATTCGCTGGATATAATATTTTTTTATATTGAGAAAATTACTTTTTTATTTAATCTATCTATGGATCAGATTAACTTATATAATTAGATCCAAGCCACATTTTTTTGTTATTTAATTTTTTGATTATTTTTTTTTAAAATCATTTTTTTTTTAGGGTCGAAAATTAAACAAACGGATGAACTGGACGATAAGGTGAATGAACTGTAATAAGTTCATTCTTTTTTTACTTTTTTACTTTCAGGAAACATTAGTAACGTTTTCTTTCTTTTTCTTTTATAGGAACTGGGAATGGGGATTTCAGGTTTGAGGCACATTGGAAACGATATGTTTCGTTACGAAACTTTCGTTTCCTTTATTTTTTTTTTAATTTTTAATTAGAGGTATAGAAACATTTGGGATTCAGAACGATATTTGTTTTTTTTTAATTAGAGGGGTTTGAGAACATTTGGGTTCATTGCAAAACTTCTATTTCCTTATTTTTTTTATTTTTATTTTATTTTTTTTAATTTTTAATCAGATTCGTTGCGAAACTTCTGTTTACTTCTTTTATTTTTTTTATTTTTATTTTTTTTTAATTTTTAATTGGGTTTGTTGCGAAACCTCCATTTCCTCTTTTTTGTACTTTTACTTTTATTTTTTTTTGTTTTTTTAATTTTTAATCGGGAATCTCACTAACGTTTCCTTTCTTTTTTCTTTTGTAGAAACTGAAGATAGGGATTTCGGGTTTGAAAACATTGGGAACAGTATTTTTTTTTTTTTAATTTTTAATCAGAAACCTCACTAACATTCCCTTTCTTTTTTTTCTTGATGAACTGGACGACCAGGATTTAAATGAACGTACTATGATAAGTTCGTTCATTTATATTTTGATATTGCTTTAGGGAAAGTAATTAATATTCTTTTTGTTGTTTTTGTAGGAACTGGAATTTCTGGTATTTAGACGTTTAGAAATGGTAAGTTTCATACGAAACTTCCTTTTTTTTTGTTTTTTTTTGTTTTTTTTGTTTGTTTAATTGAGAACGTCACTAACATTCCTTTTCATTTTATTTTGTAAGAATTGTGATCAATACGAATTATCAAAAAAAAAATAGATTATTATTACATAAATAAGTTGTTTAATTTCAAAAAATTATTTAGTTAAAAATAAAAATAAAAATAATTGTAAAAAATTTATAATATAGCTAATATTTAATCTAAATAATATATATGTTTAAAAAAAATAAATAAAAAAGAAGCGCAAAAAAATTAAAAGTAATTAAAAGTAATGTTATTTTTTTTTCTTCCTCTTGTTTTTCGTAGTTGTGTTATTTTATTCCTATCATCAGATATATCAAGTTGAGTATCATCCTATGAATTATAATTGATATTTAAATTAGATGTTGGTGAAGAAAATTCTTCTTGAAGATCCTCATCTATATTTATTTGAGGTAATGCTAAAGAAGATAGTTTTGGAATTTTCTAGGAACTGGATAAAGTTGTTGCTTGATTCTTCACTTTTCTCTTATTAAATTTGGCTGAAAGAGACTTGGCTATTTCAGTAGTTAATGGGATAGATTGCGTAGTTGATTCCTTTTCTTCTCTCTTTTCCTAAGCATAGCTTGAAGTTTTATTAGGTGATGAGCTAGTGTTTTCAATAAAATTAATTTGTATAAGTCTGATAAGTAAGTGATCATCAATAAGAGATAGAGATCCAGTAATATATAATGATAATCCATGTGAAACCTTGCTTGTAATTGGCAACAAATGACTTTCTTCTGAAAAATGATATAAATCAAATGAAAGAGATTTATTATTTTGGTCATCATTGGTTTCTGAATTATCAGATGCTGTGCTTACTAATATAATAGATAGCGATGATTTTGGTAGATCATTTTCTTCAAGATTAAGTACGCAAATGTCAGATGCTACTATCTAATTTGATAATTATTATTAGTTTTATTTTTATTTTTCTTTAAAAAGTTTTTTTCATTGTTATTGATAAAAACTTAAAAAAATCTTATACCTTAATAAGCTTAATTTTACTTCCATCAACTTCTGTTTCAATGATTGAGAATTTTCCTTGGACTCTGATTATATCACCTTTTTCAAATCTTTCTAAATCATTATCTCTTGTTGTATTCTTTGGATAAAATGCAATAATATGAATAAAAATGTTGGTATTTTGTTGACGTGAACTGATTATACCAACAGCAGTGACTACAAAATTAAATTTTTCTGGAGTCTCATTGTATTGATCTATGAAGCAAATCACGTTCAAATTGCAAGGCATTTTTTCTGTAAAAAATGGTAATAAAAATACAATTTTTTTATTTATTGAAAAAATAATTATGTGAAAATTTTTGTTTATTTTATTGATAAAAGTAAAGTTGTATTAATTTATACAAAATATTTAATATTATTTATTTATCTTATTATTATTAGTTAGTTTAATTAATATTTATTATTGTTTATTAATCTATTATTCTTATTAGACTCAGTGATGATTAAAATGATTGAAATCTAAGGCAATCGATCCAAAGCACGAAACCATAAAAAGGAGAAGAGTGAATTAAACTAAAATGAAGAATAATAACAAAAAAAAAAGGTTAGCATGATTATTTGTTTATTTACTTAATAATCAAAAAATAAAAAAAATTTCTATCTTCAAAGATTTGCGTCATCATTAAAGATAATACAGCAATTGATTTCAAATTTACAAAATGTTACAACATAAGCTAAAATTAGTTGCAACATTTGTTGTAACATTATAAGTTGCAACATATATAGGTTAAAACTAATTGCAACGTAAGTTGCAACATTAAAAGTTGCAACATATTAATTACAGTTCCTATCTTTAGCCATCATGAAACTTAACCTAAAAATGAGGGAAGGATTAATTGAATAGAATAAATAAAATAGGGTTATTATAATTAAAAAAGGTAGTTTTTTTAGTAAAAATAAAAAAAGAAATCTAATCTATTTGTCTAAAACTAAAAAAAAACATTATGAGATCATCTGATTACCACTATATCAAAAATAGGAAAATCGATTTTTATTTTTTCATTTTTAATATTATAGCATGATACATGTTACACAATTCAATTTATTTATATTGGATAATAATCTAAATGTTAACTTTTTTTTTAGTTATATAGATTTATTATAAAATATTATTGATGCATATTTAAAAATAACACAAACAGTGCAGCAAATTCAATCTCAAAATTGTGATAATAAGATCTAATATTACAATCACTAATCTTTTGAAGATTTATTTGGTTAAAAATATATTGAATAATCTAATGATATATATAATACAAATTTTAATAGGTATATAGAAGTAGATGAAAATGCAAAAGATTTTAATGAAAAAAGCAGTAGCAAGTCAAACCCTACCAAGGCAGAAAATATAAATTCTTTCAAAAAATCAAAAATTGATTTAGTAAGAACATTTTTTTCATTATATTGTTTTTTATTATATTATTCTTTTTTTATATCACTTTTTCTGTTTATTTCTTTTATAATATATTAATATACAAAAATTTTAACGAAATTTATTTTAAATAGTAAATCAATTTATGTTAAGTAATATATGAATTATATTTAATTTCATTGATTTAAAAGTTGATTTTTAATATAATACAGGTTGATTTATATCTGATTGTTATCTGAAAGCTATAATTAAATTCTATCTATGTAGCAGCAATTTAGACTCAAACAGAAATAATAGAAATATCTTTTAAATAAAAAATCAGATTATTTTAAGATAATAATCAACTTTAAATCAAATAAAAATCAGATATCAAACTTATATCTAATTTATATGATTTTGACTAGTGATAATAAATAAAAAAATTGGTTTGAAAATTATAATTAATTTACTTTTATTAAAATAGCTTAACAAATAATACTATAAATAAAGTAACTATCATTATAAATAGTATTAGTAAAAGAGATCATTAGCATTTAAAAATAATAGATAAATTATACAAAATTCTAGCATATGGATTTTATGAAAATCAGTTGTTGATCTTCTTTTTTTAGCATAAATATATAAGTTTTTTTATTTATTTTAAAATATATTAAAATTAAAAATAGTCCCTATAATTATTTCAAATTTTAATTGAGTTGTAACTTAATTACGCTATCCCTTAGATTATAGGATTTCGCAGACAAATTTGCCTGCTTATTTACTATAAATTCTCTTCTGATTTACTTTTATGAATAATTAATATTTTTAA